CAGCAGCAGCAGCAGCAGCAGCAGCAAAGGAGCAGCCGGGGCTGTGTCCGGGCCTCAGCAGCAGAAGCGGAGCTGGCCTCAACTCCCCACAATCTAAATTGTATCTTTTTTGTTTGGAAAGTCTTTTTAGATCTCGAGAGGGAGAAGTGGAGTTGGCGGAGGAGCTGCTGGATCGGCCCCACACGCTGCGCCCCGATCCCGATCCCGGGATCGAGTGTGGGGTCGATCCCCGCATTCACCCCACACTCGATCCCAGTGGGATCGATCCCAGAAAAGCCGATCCCAAGGCCGCTCCCAGCTGTGGGGTCGACCCCGCCGTCAAGGCCGCCTACCATCTCGCCAGGGCCGAAATCTGCAGAGTCAGGGTTTAGGGTTTAGGGTTTAGGGTTTAGGGTGTGGGGTTTTGGGGTTAGGCTTTCGACGCTAGGGGTTGCATTTTAGGGTTTTGGAGTTAGGGTTTAGGGGGCAAGGTTTGAGCTTCAGGGTTTGCGGTTTAGGGGTTAGGGTTTAGGGGTTAGGATCCAAGGTTTGGGGATTAGGGTTTAGGGTTTAGGGTTTAGGGTTTGAGGGCGCGCAGGCAAGAAAGAAATACGGAGAATTCTGCCGTGAGATGCTTTTCTACTTGGCCTACACTTCTGCAAGTAAGCCGAGGGTTTAGGGTTTAGGGTTTAGTGTTTAGGGTTTAGGGTTTAGGGTTTAGGGTTTTCGAGGAAGTACGGTTTCGGGTTCTCGAGGATCTAGGGTTTGTGATGCTGCTTAGCAGCAGCGCTCCTGCCAGTCTTCTGAATCCGCCTTAGGGTTTAGGGTTTAGGGTTTAGGGTTTAGGGTTTAGGGTTTAGGGTTTGGGTATATGGTTTTTTCTGCTTTTTCTTGCGTTTTTGAATTCTTCTTTGGCCTTATTTGTTTTAAATACTTTTCTTTTATTCTTTCAGATTCAATTAAAGAAAAAGATCGAAGAAAAATCGCAAAAGATATCTCTGTTGCTGCTTTAATTGCTCCCGACTTTTACAACTTCGGAGAACTGGTGAGTTCAGGTGTACGTACACCTGAACGCCCCGCGTTCCCGAATTTCCTTTTTTTGCTTTTCTCCTTTTTGTTTGTTTCTAGTTATGTAATTGTTCTTTGAACAAGTAATTAGATTGTTTAATTGTCTACTTAATAAATTAATTAACTAATTAGACAATTGACTATTTAAGGTGATTAAATAATCTCAATTGAATCATTTCATTTGGTTTTATTATTATAAACTATTTACTTGCTTTACTGCTGCAGCTGCAGCAAGGCGTCGTGCTGGAGGCAATGCAGCAGCAGCAGCAGCAGCAGCAGCAGCAGCAGCAGCAGTGGCTGTTTCAGCTGCTGCAGGCCTTTGCAGAAGGAAGCGTTGCTGCTTATAAGGAAATAATGGAAACCCACAAGCAGCAAATTGAGCAATCTGTGGGGCCCCACACTTCATTTTGTTTATTATTTACTTATTTATTTATTTATTTTATTCATTTTGTTTATTTTATTTAGTTTATTATCTTATTATTTTGTTTCTTTTATATTTGTTTCCTCTTTTTCCTCTTTTTATTTTTCTCTTTCTGTCTTTTCCACTTTTTGTTCAATTTTTGTTTCCTAATTTTCTTTCTTTTTCATTTTTTTCCATCCTTTTTGTTTCTCTTTCTCATTCTAATCCTATTTATTTGTTAATTCATTTATTTATTTTTATTTATTATCATTGTATATTTATTTATTTTTTTATTTTTTTATTTATTTTGTAATTAGGAGTTGAGAGAACACCTGGTGGCTTTGGAGCAGAAAGCAGCAACAGTGGCTTTGCTGCGGCTGGCCTTCACATGCAGCACAGCAGGAGCAGTTTTGCTGCCAAGCAGCAGCAGCAGCAGCAGCAGCAGCAGCAGCAGCAGCAGCGGGGGCAGCAGCAGCAGCCTGTCGTTTGCTGCAGTGGCAGCAGCTTGCAAAGTGTCTTTGGAAAATGTTGAAAAGTTGCTGCTAATGGCAATGGCAAAAAGACTTTTAAAAGGAAAAATAAATGGCATCCAGCAAACCATTCAAGTTGACTGGGTCCGCCCCGTGCTTCTCGCCGACGCGCCCAGGTCAGCAGCAGCAGCAGCAGCAGCAGCAGCTAAAGCAGCAGCAGTTGCAGCAGCAGAGAGAATAAATACAAGCGGGAAAGGGGGGAGTTAATCTGAATTAAATTAATTAAAATAAACCTTAAATGGGGGATCTTTTGCTGCTGCCATTAAAACAAAAAAAGAAAAAAAGAGAAAAGTAGATAGGGGCTAAGGAGTTTGAATTATAAATAATGGAATTCAAAAGAGATTTAAGTAACTAAAGAGTCTCTTTATATTTAGATGATTTAAAAATGATTTAATTCATAAAAATAAAACCGAAAATAAACATGACAAAAAGTGTTTCTTTTTATTTGCTGCAGCATCCGGGCGCTGAGCAGCCGCCTCTGCTGCTGGGCAGCAGCAACAGAAGAGCTGCAGCAGCTGCTGGAGGGCCAGACTGCGGAGTTGCTGCGGACTTGAGCAGCAGCAAAAGGGAAAATAAAAGAAAAAGGAAAAGAATTATTAAATTGCGAGAGAAGTGGCGAGAAAAAGGATCTTTTTGTGTCTTTTTTGAGTCTGAAAAACCAGAAAAGGACCCGAACAGTGCTTTTTGCGTTTGCTGAATTTCCTCGATTTTGCCCTTTTAGAAGACACTTTTCCTATCAAATAACCCCTCAGAAGTGCCATTTAGGCATTTAAAACTCAGAAAAAGAATAAATGGAACTTCGAATTTCTTAAATTGAAGGAAAAATCGCAAAAATGGATTAGTTGCATGTTTCGCGATCGCTGGGGTGTACGTACACCTCTCGGGGTGTACGTACACCTCCCGGGGTGTACGTACACCTCGCGGGGTGTACGTACACCTCAAGCGAGCGCGTTTTCGGAAATGTTTCTTTTCATTTGACTCCAATTGAAATGAAAAGAACTTTAGACATTACGAACAAAACACATTCACCTCATTTGACTCCATTTAATTCAAAAGAACTTCAGACATTTCGCGCAGCAGCAGCAGCAGCAGCACGAGCTGTCTGTACACAGCAGCAGCAGCAGAGCGAGCTGTCTGTACACCCCAGCAGCTCTCTCGAAGGCGAAAATTAAGCAATTCAAAATTCTTTTCCTTTCTTCTTTTATCTCCCTTTTTTCTTCTTTTAATTTATCTTATTCCTTTTTGTTTCGCTATTTCTTACTCCTTTCTTTTATTTTCTTTTTCTTTTTTTTGTCTTCTTATTCTTTTTTGTTTCCCCGTTTCCCCTTTTTGTCTTTTTTGTCTCTTGTTTTCCTTATCATCACTTTTCCCTTTTCCCTTTTTTCGTGTTTTGATCAAGAAAGCAGCTGCCTAATTAGTTAGTTCGCTAGCTAGCTAGCTAGCTAGCTAGCTAGCTAGTGGGCGAGCTAGCTAGCCTGCACTCCTGCAGCTAGCCAGCATGCCAGCTTGCCACCACGGTGGTCAGCCATCTATCTAGATAGATAGCTAGCTAGCTAGCTATGTAGCCAGCTAGCCAGCTACATAGCTAGCTATCTAGATATTTAGCCAGCTAGCTAGCTAGCTAGAGCTTGCTAGATAGCTAGATAGCTAACTAGCCAGCCAGCTGGCTAGCTAGCTAGCTAGCTAGCTAGCTAGCAGTTTCGCTGCAGGCTGCTGCTATTTTTCTAGCCGCTGCAAACCAAGATTGCTAGCTACGCATATGTGTGTAATTAAGGGACTAAATATATGGCTTGCTAGCTAGCTAGCTATTTGGCTAGCTAGCTAGCTAGCTAGCTGGCTTACTATTTGGCTGGATAGCCACGTGGGCCTGGCTAGCCAGTTAACTAGCTAGCTAGCTAGCTTGCCAGCTAGCCAACTGGCTAACTAGCTAACTAGATAGCTAGCTAGCTAGCTAATTGGCTATCTAGCTAGCTAGCTAGCTAGCTAGCTAGCTAGCTAGCTAGTGGGGAGAGAGGAGGGGGAAAAATAAAAAGGAGACAAGGAACAGTTGCAGCTGAGCCTCGGGGGGCCCCTGAGGTGTACGTACACCTGAGCGCCCCAAAACCGTAAACCCTAAACACGCGTTGAAACAGTTTGGCGCTGCACTGTACGCTATTTAGCTCCCCAAACCCCTTTTTAGGGTTTAGGGTTTTGTCTCCCTCATTTCAGGGTTTGAGGCCAATTCTCTAGGGTTTAGGGTTTGGGGATTAGTCTATGTCCTCCCCTTCATCGCTGTAGAGCTCTGTCCGCGATTTGTTCAGCATCAACTCCAGCCACTGCAGCAAACACAGCCCTAAACCCTAAACCCTAAACCCTAAACCCTGAAAAGAGGTAGCAGCAAGCAAGGCCCTGCTTCGTCGAGCCCTAAACCCTGTGGGCATTCCCGTTGGGAGCCTCAGGCGCTAGGGTTTGCTGAGAGGGTTTAGGGTTCAGGAGGGTTTAGGGTTTAGGAGGGTTTAGGGTTTAGGAGGGTTTAGGGTTTAGTTTGAGGGTTAGCTAAGAGTTAAGAAAAGTCATTAGGGTTTAGGGTTTAGGCGGCTCCGGGTTCAGCTCCCCGCGGGCCGTGCTTCTCGCCTGCTGAGGGTTTAGGGTTTAGGGTTTAGGGTTTACGAGGGTTTCTGCCAATTCTTTTCTCGTCCCTATGGCGTGCTGCGGGCCCCTCCCTTCAGCAATCGCCGCTGCATTATTCAGCATCAGCAGCCCTGTAGAAACAGTCCACAAGGTCTGGCCCAGCAGCAGCAACAGCAGCAGCAGCAGCAGCAGCAGCAGCAGCAGCAGCAGTTGGTTTTTAAATCTTAGTTGGGCTCATTGAAAATATACAAGAGGCAATGGAATGAATTACATCTGCAGGCATTCATTATTTTGATTCATTCTATCCACTTTAATTGTTCGATTTTAATTAATTACTTAATTAATTAATTAATTAATTGATCAATTAATTAATTAATTTAGTAATTAAACAATCAATTAATTAATCAATTAATTATTGTCCTACGGATCCTTCATATCCTGTCTTTGAAACGAGCGAGCAGAAGCCAGGCTGCAGCAGCAGCAGCAGCAGCAGCAGAAGCAGCAGCAGCAGCAGCAAATGGGTTTTTCTCCGCCATTTTTTGTCCTTTTTTCGAATTAATTTCAACAAAGGCCTTATGCATGCATGCAGAAGCAAAGTGGAAAGAAGAAATAAATAAAATCAAAAAATTAATTCAAAACGAACCTCCGGGACTTGGCGAGAGACCACATATTGCCTGGGCTGTCCTGCAGCGCAGCAGCAGGACTGGGGTGTACGTACACTGGAATTCGCGCGAATAAAAAGGCGAAATGGACGCTTTTGGCAATTAATAGGAGAACAAAGGAAGAAAGAACACAAAAGTAAATTAAAAATAAATTAAAAGCGAAGTAAAGTGAATTAAAAGTGAATTAAAAGTGAATTAAATCCGTCTTTTTCTTTTTTCCAAAAGTGGGTACAGCCAGAGGTGCCTATACACCCGAGCCACGCGCAGTCGTTACACCCGAGGGATGGGGAGGCGCGAAAAGTCGCAAAATGGAAGCAAAAAGTGCCATTTGAAGAGGAAAAAAGAACAAAAAGAAAAAGAAAGTAAATTAAACGCTGGGGAGCGAAAAAGCGGGGAAAAAACGGGAAAAGCGCGGAAATCTGAGGTGTACGTACACCCCAACGCACCGCGGCCGTTGGAGTGTATGCTCAGCTGCCACTCCAACTCGTGGGCCACCATTTGCAAATGCGTCAGTGCCAAACTGTAGCTGCTTTTGGGGTCTTGTACTGAATCCACCACCCGCACTGCCCCGTTCCTGCAGCGCAGACCCTAAACCCTAAACCCTAAACCCTAAACCCTAAACCCTCGGGGTTTCGCGAGAACGGTAGAAGCAGCAGCGGTCGGCCCTGAGGCATTCTTCGTCTGCCGCTATTCTCTCCGCGCAACGTCTCCTCCGCTTTGCTGCTGCTACCGTGCTGCTGCTGCTGCTGCTGCTCTGCTGCTGCTGCCGCTGCTGCTCTGCTGCTGCTGCTGCTGCTGCTGCTGCTGACTCTCTGTCGATGATGCCGAGGGCGAAGTGAAGGGGACTTGTCTCCTCTTGGCTTTTTTGCATCGGCAGTTTAATTGGAATTAAAATAAAACGCGCGGAGCAGCAGCTATCCAGTTCTTTGGGAGACAGGCGCTGCAGCAAAAAGATAAAACACTTTTGTTTATTTTGTTTTGTTTTATTTTGTTTTGTTCTGTTTTTCGAAGCTTAAATGACTAATCAATAAACAAAAAAAAGAAAAAAGGGAAAGAAAAAAAGAAAGAAATTCAAGAAAGAGTTGAAGACCAGAGACAATAAGAAAGAAAGCAAAAATTAAGGTAAATTAAATTGAATTACATTAAAAAGAAAGTGAAATTAATTTAATTATGAATTAAATAAAATCAAATAAATAAATAAATAAAATAAAGAGCGAATTGAATAAATTATAAGAACAAAACAAATTAAGCAAATTCCAAAAGACACAAATGAAATAAAGTAAATGAAGAGAAAGTTAAATAAAGGAATAAATGAAATACACAAAATAAAGAAATGAATAAACTAATGAATAAAGAAATCAATTAAATTAATGAAATTAAAATGAAATAATAAAACGAAACACAAATTAAAAAAATAAAATAAAAAACAAAGACAAAAACATTAAATGAAAACAAATGAGGGGTCTAAAGAAGTGGAAAAAAGTGGAGAAAAAAAGCAACAAAAACCGAATTAAATAAACAAACAAACGAATTAATTATTATTTAATTAATTAATTTAATTGATTTAATTAATTTAATTGTTTAATTATTTAATTCAAAACAATAAGACTCACCGGCAAATATACATAAGAAGGGGCCCCCCCAAGGCCGGCCTGGTAGCGGGGCCACCAGCTGAGGATGACAGTGTCGGCCTGTCTGTACACCCGAAAGTGGAAACAGCAAATAAATAAATAAACAAATAAATAAACAAATAAATAAATAAATAAATAAATAGTCAAAATAATAATTGCCAGGCACTAGGCGGGAAAGAATCCCGCGGAAAACGCGCAGAAAGAGCGCCGCCCGCACCCGCCACGACAAATCTAGGGTTTAGGGTTTAGGGTTTAGGGTTTGGGGTTTAGGGTTTAGGGTTTAGGGTTTACGAGTTCTCAGCTGTAATCCGTTCCTGCGCACAATCACAAGACAGAGAACAACGTGCATGCGCCTCAGGCTTCGCTAGAAGGGGTTTAGGGTTTAGGGTTTAGGGTTTAGGGTTTAGGGTTTAGGGTTTAGGGTTTAGGGTTTAGGGTTTACCTGGAGGGCCGTCAAGTAAAGTTCTATGATATGGTCGTCCAGCAAATTGCCCAAACGAAACGCGTTCAACTGCGCCCTAAAAGCAAAATAAATAAATAAATAAATAAATAATAAATAAATAAATAAATAATAAATAAATAAATAAATAATAAATAAATTAATAAATAAATAAATAATAAATAAATAAATAAAAAATAAATAAATAATAAATAAATAAATAAATAAATAATAAATAAATAAATAA